TTATTTAATTTATAATAATTTGAAGATAGGTGATGAAATTCCTATTTATTGTTTAAACATTATATAACTATATATAAATAAATCTATTAAGATGTAATACCATATATGGATATATCTAGTTTGTTTCAATGTTTTAATAGATTTTTGATTATTGATTAGGTAGTACAAACTGGAGGTTGAAACTGCAACTATATAATATTGTGATATAAAATTTTTTTTAATTATTAATGATTGTTCTTGTTAGACAAATGATAAAGGATTACTTTTACAGCCCACAGGTATATACAAAATATATATTATATAAGTTTAAATATAGCCTAATGTTTAATATATATCATTGACCCGGCGATCTATTTAACTCCGTGACACTTATTATTTCAATATTTTTGATTCTCGGAGGAGAGATGAATGTTTTGATTTTAGTATTTTACAATATGATGAGTGTTTTGTTTTGTGTGTCTATGACCTGTGTACACGAAAAATAGTTACAATAATTCTTCTATTTTCACTTCAGTATCTTTTTTGGAGAGAAAGTAAATCTAGTTGTTACCTTTGATGGGTCAAAATTGTAAAATTCCAAGTAGTTTTCAAAAGCGTTAGAACAAATGAAAAATTAAGGAAAAACAGGAATTTCAAATCTTAGATTTCAAAAGAAAATTATTTATGAATTTCTAACTCGGAGTAATTTTCAAATTTTCATCATCTTGACGCGTTTTTTCAATATTTGAACTTTAAATGCTTATAAAAAAAAATTGTGACCTAGGAATTTTTTTCATCTGCCTTTGAAACAATATACTAGGAGCCTTCTATTATATTTTATTGATATTTTTAGAAAAAATACTAAAAAAAATGGAAACTGAAAATGTCTGTAAAGAGCTCAAAATAAGTCAAAATATTTGGAAAAAGTTATGATGTATAGAAAATGCGAAAATAAACATTCACTCAAAATGTCATGTACCTACGATCATTTGTTTTTCACGGCGCTTTTTAAAACTATTGAGAAATTTTGGAAACTTTTAACCCCCCAAAGTACCAACTAGATTCACTTTCCTATCAGAAAAGATACTGTTGAAGAAAATCCAAACACTTTTACTGTCCTAGAACGTGATAACAGACACAAAAAAAAAATAAAATAAAAAAAAAACACACATCATTGTGAAATCAATACATTCATCGTTCCACTCAGAATCTAAAATATATGTTGTCATACAAGAAAATTTAAAAATGGTAACATTAAAAAATAGTAAAATCAATTTTTTTAGAAAAATATTATTTTGTAAAGTCATAAAATCATGTTAAAAATATATTTTCAAAATGTCAGTGTTTATTAAATTATGAGTGTCCTACACTCATACTTAGATAATGGATCACCTCGAATATAAAGATATTTTGTGAATCTGTGCATATTTCTGGATAATTGTGTTTAATATAGATAATATAAATGCTTTATGCCTTTATAACTATCTCATTTCGTAATTTTCATTTTAATATTTTCATTCGTTATTATATTTTGTTCCTTATAGATGTATTAAATATACAGGGTGTATCTTATGTCGTTGTACGCGGGGTTTTTTGACGAAAACTGAACGATGATATGGAATTTCGTTAAAACGAAAAAAGACGTGTTTCTTTATTTTTAACAAGCAATTTTATTATAACAATTTCAAAATTTTTAAACACGCAGGTGTACCAATAGCAAAATCAACTTTTTTTTTTCAAATGGTAACCACTATATTTTTTAATGGATTCTGGTAAAGCTTTTTTTTCTGAACATTTTGGTAGTCGAACCGTCAATTTTGGTTGGCTAGTTTATTAACTATGGCCCTCCAAAGATTAGTAAAATATGCATTAATACTTTTAATTAAAATAATGGGTATAGGTTAAATTTACAAGCGCTAAATAATTTTTTCTTATAACTACCATTTGATACACAACAATTGTTGAATCGGTAATCTAATGACACCCTCAAAAAAAAAAAAAAAATAACAAACATAATTGTTTGTAAACATACTTGATTATTTTTATTTTAACATACGATCATAAAAATCAATATTATTATTTTAATATCCAAAACTAAAAAGGATGGAAAGGGATGAATTACAACTCCTAAGTTCATACTTTGGATGCGATACCATTTTAGGGAATCTATGGTTAAAACATCACGTTTATACTTTATACCATTACGAAAAGAGCACCACAAACATTGCACTTTTTTCGTTGCACATATTAATGTCAACAATCGAATACCATTTACCAATTTACCATTATTACCTTAGCTACCTACCTAATTAAGAATTCAAATTTATGATATTGTAAGAAAAGTAACTGTGATGAAAAAAATGTAAAGTAATTAATTACGATTATAATAATAAATTAAAATAATAATATTGATTTTTATGATCGTATATTAAAATAAAAATAATGAAGTATGTTTACAAACAATAAAATTATGTTTGTTATTTTTTTTTTTTTTGAGGGTGTCATTAGATTACCGATTCAACAATATTCTAGTGTTTCAAATGATAGTTATAAGAAAAAATTGTTTAGCGCTTGTAAATTTAACCTATACCCATTATTTTAATTAAAAGCCAACCAAAATTGACGATTCGACTACCAAAATGTTCAGAAAAAAAGCTTTACCAGAATCCATTAAAAAATATAGTGGTTACCATTTGAAAAAAAAGTTGATTTTGCTATTGGTACACCTGCGTGTTTAAAAATTTTGAAATTGTTATAAAAAAATTGCTTGTTAAAAATAAAGAAACACGTCTTTTTTCGTTTTGACGAAATTCCATATCATCGTTCCGTAATCGTCAAAAAACCCCGCGTACAATGACATAAGATACACCCTGTATATGATTATATGAATAATATATATAATAAGTTATACATTTGAGATAGAATCATCTAAGTACCTAATTATGTTTTTTGAGAAATTATTGTCAAAAACCATATTATCTATTGTTTATTTATATTTGTAAGCCTTTTTTATATTATTTGATAATAACAATTAAAATATTTTATTTCGATAGAGTGAATAAGTAACATATTAATATAATATTATATTGGTTCGGTACTTCAGTACTTAAAAGATTTTGAAGTTGAACATTATATTCATTATATTCAGCAACCCGTCTCTCGTCCCATTCATCAGTTATGCTAATTGCCAACGGTGTAATTATTACTTGTTAATAAATAAATTCTAACCCTTTGAAAATAATATAGACGCATATGGTAGGTGTGATGTGTCACATATTATTATAAACATCAGTCATCAACGCACAAAGCAAGCGTTTACAAAACCGCTATTATATTGTCTATCCTATTTTGTGTATTGTGCGCAGGTAGACATTTCAGCGATTTATTTATCTGCAATAAATTATACAAGTCTTATGGAAATATCTGGAAAACGGATAACAACGCAATTCGCAAACGAGAAATATTATTTTAAAAAAAAAGGACCGTTTAAATGTGTAGTGTGCGTATATTAAAATAATAACAAGAGAAAAATGATAATTTTGGACCACTTTTTTTACATTGCACACACACACAAACATTTATTTTTTATTATTATTCCTCCCGACGTAGTTCGGGTTGCTAAAATATTGATTGTCGGATTCGGATAGCTGCTCCGCTCCGCTGCTGAGGACCAGGCGGCGGCGGCAAGAGTGAGTGTAGGACGCTTTTTTTTTAAGCAACCTTCTCCTATACACAAACGCACACACTCACACAATAGTACGTCGCAGGCGCATACAGGGTTCGTCTGGGACGTACATTTGGCAACGCCGCCGGGTTGTTCGGCGGCGTCGCTCCCTCTAGCGCGCGCCGTACGATCGTCTCGTCGCCGTCGTCGTCTCGCGCGCCGGTGGTATTTCATTTGGTTTTTTTACATTTCATTTTTCTGTCCCGTCTTTGCCGCCCGCCACCGCCTCCGCGCGCACCTCTCATTCAGGTTCTCTATGGCGGAGGAGAGCGCGCGCGCGCGCGCGCTTGCCGGGTTTTTTTCCGTCGCCCCTTACCACCACGCCCCACCCCCTCTTCACCTCCGACGAATATTACGTACGCCGTCGGCCAGTCGCACACGCACCGTCGTCTCCCCCGAATGTACTGTAGCCACCGCCACCGCAGCCGCTGCCGCCGCCGTCGTCGTCGTCGTCGCAGCCGGTGTTTACTGTACGGTGCCGTTCACGAGCGTGTGTTGTATTATCGGCAGCCGCCGCCGCGGAGCTTTTCGAGTCTCTGACGACGCGCAGCCGGGTAATCGCGATCATTCTTAATTTAATTTTTAATTCAAATTATTCATCTCTTCTGCACAATTCGCGTATCCCGTCGTCTTATCAGTAATTGTAAAAAACCAAATAATTAAAATAATAACAACAAGGTTGATACGTGAAAACAAATATTTGTATGTTATGTATATTCTCGGTTCACTGTAGAGTACTCGTCCCGGTCATGAGGACCGCCGACGTCCACGGGATTACCGGACACATTTCTACACGGTAATGTCGATACTATGCACACATAATAATAAATAATTATAATTATAAAAATATGTCTATTGTACGTCTGACTTTGACGATCGCTGCAGCCTGCAAGGTGGCGCGCATCGAAATTCAAAATTTGTCTCATCCGCGTAACAAATAACAATACGATTTTTTATTTGATTTTTAAATTTCCGTATGCAGTGTGTACACTGCAGCGCTATCACCGTGCAGGGCTACACTGCGCGAGCGCCGTTTTCCCTCGCAACACACAGCAGCTGCTTGCTATCAAGTATCAACATTCAACACGACAATAATATTAGTGACAACAGTCGGTTGAAGAGCAACTTACGACTTAAAGTCCCGCTTTTTATCACTGTTTTTTTGTTTTACTTGATGCGTTAATGATTAAAAATTTCAATAATTCTAATAATTATTACTTTCGGTTTGGTTTTCAAAACGGTTTTTATTTTTGTTTTTATAAGGCGCGTGTGATATTTGCCGGCAGGCGTCAGTGCAATGGACCCGGGCGGTGGTGTCAACAAGATGGAGTGTGACGATGATTCGTTTTTCGTCCAGAAAATGAGAAGACTCAGCTTCGACGCTGACAGAGCGATACCATCATTGGTCATCGCCAGCGCACCGTCGCCGCCTGACAGTCGCCGGTCTTTTTCGCCTGAGATTGGTGTTGACTCGTCGACACCGTTCCTCAAACCACGGGCTCTGCACAAGGTGCGCCTCAGGGGCCAGTCACCATTGAGCGACACCAGCAGTGAATCTACGCGTTCTAACAAGTTTCGGTTGTCGGTCAATCCCTTCACACCAACTGGCATTGAAATATTAAAAAACAAACATCGGAAAAGACTGTGTCCTGCAAAACAGAACATAAGTTTCTCCAGTTCTGAAGATCATTCGAGTCATGACAGCAACAGTAGTTTTTCCACTCCGCCTGACAATAAAACGTCTCCTTCGGTCGATCCTTCTATCAGAGATCTTATGAATGAAGGCGAAGTAACCAATGTCAGTATTTATGATTTGCAGACTTCTCGTTTCAATGAAGAGTTCAGAATGGATGATTTTATCGCTACTGGTGCTTTTGGTGAGGTATACAAGTGTACAAATTTATTAGATGGAATCACATATGCTATTAAAAAGACCAAAAAGACAATTTACAAAAGCCAAGAATACTTTATTCGTAAAGAAGTTTATGCACACTCTGTAATTGGACGACATCCAAACATAGTCTCGTATTTCACAGCTTGGCATGAGAGAGGTCATATTTATATTCAAACAGAGTTTTGTAATGATGGAACCCTAGAGCGGATGATTCATGAAACTGACCATGTGTTCTGCGATAGTGCTTTAAGACGATTGCTATGTCATGTATGTAAAGGTTTAGCTCATATTCATTCTAAAAAGCTTGCACATTTAGACATTAAAGCTGCCAACATTTTATTATGCCGTACAGATGGTGCATTGTGGTTTGCTGAAGATCTAGATGATGATGAAACAGTTGACAAAGATATTGTCTATAAAATTGGGGACTTTGGACATACAATATGTGTTGAAGATGTTCGAACTATTGAAGATGGAGATTGTCGGTATTTACCCAAAGAACTATTACGTGATGATTATTCTCAGTTACAGAAAGCTGATGTATTTTCAACTGCGCTTACTGTATATGAGGCAGCAACTAAAAAAGATTTACCTAAAAACGGACCAGAATGGCACCGATTAAGAGATGGTGAATTTTCATTGCCTCAAACTCCAGTTTTTAGTACTGGTCTTGAGAAAATGCTTAAAAAAATGGTTGACTTGGATCCTAAAAATAGGCCTAATGCATCCACAGTGGTTAATCTTTTACTTGATAGAGGAATGGCTGCTGTAAAACAACAACAAGACGAAATGGAAGTATGGAAGTTGAGTTCTAAGTTCCTTGCACCTTGTTACTCTGTCGAAACACAGACACCATCAAGAACAACAATTGGGCAGAGAAGATATGAAAATTCTAAACTGTATCGAACCAGAAAAGAACGAATTAAACGATTGGTTGGTAGAAAAATGAGCAGATCATGTAGTACTCCTAATGTTTAACTATAAACCATAATGTAATTTATTTAATTTATGTATTTGTTTTTTTTCTCCATTTGATTGAAGTAATTATTTCAGAAGCATTGGCAAGTATTGTAAGAATGATTTAAGTATTAATTTGCTCCCTTCACTTTTTTTTTTATAATTTTTATAGCATTATTGTATTTTATAACTCTGTGATAAGACGTGAAAATTATTTTCAAATGTATTAAGTACCTAATTAGTAATTATAAAAGAATTAGAAGTTCAAAAACTACAAAGGATTTTAATGCCTAAAAAAAATATTTATAATGTATTCTCAATTTATAATTTAATTACTACTTAATTTTTCAATTATCTTTATTTTTATTTGCAAGTATAATTAATATTAAGATGGACAATTTAATTTAAAAAATTTCTGTTACAAAAAATAGTAATAAGTACTTATTTTTTTATTATTATTTGTTAATATATTTTCTTGTTCTAAATGTGATATTGTTTTTTCTTAGATGTGTATATTCAATATTGGTAATATTTGTGTATAAATTATATAGGTACATTTACAAAATATAACATCACCTTTACCTATACCCACCTAATTGATTTTGCTTTAAAATATAATTAGGTATTCAGCTTATATTCTATGTATTTATTATTTTTTTTTTCTATCAAACTAAAAGTAAGTTTCAATATAAAATCGCTCAAATCCTATTTTAAAAAGTAGGTACTGACTACTTACCTACCTAAAAAAAGTATGAATAATATTAATAAAATTTAATTTAAAAAATAATTCACATGTATTATAGCATATTATGTTATAGATTAAATGTGTCATATCACAGTGACACTAATGTACAATACCTACAACTTAGAATCAAAAGTTTACAAATAGTATGTAAATTAAAAATGATGCCAGGCAAACGGTATTTTTCTATTAAATGTCCTTATGTCTATAATTGATCTATACAACTTGATATGAATTTATGGAATCTATCATCTACTTATATACATATTGGCCATCAAGTACATTTACACCAATAACCTAAGTTAATACTATTTCAAATTAATTTTCAATACATATTTTATACTTAGCAATTTTACCAAAATATTTACTATTAATAGATTTTAAAGAATTCAAATAAAATGTGCATAGCTTTTAAATCATACATTAGCTTGTTTTTATATTATATCGATAGGTGAAAATAAAAATAAAATTTAACATTCTTATATAGGTACCTAACTATCTAAGAAAAGACATTTTGTTAAATAGAAAATAAGATTTAAGTTCAGTTTGTTCTAAAGTGTTTATTTAGTTGATTGATCTATATTTATACCAGTAAACCACTATAAGATATGAAGCATTGGCTGAGTGGAGGTAATCACTAGAGAATTACCACTGTCTTTCAAACCATTGTCTATTTTTTAAAATCTGACCAGTTTTGTTATTGTACCTGAAACATAAATATTAATTATTATTACTGAATCTCACATTTTCCTATATGAAAGTATCTACATAATAGAAGAAATATTTTTCAAACGGGACCTATATGTGTAACAGGTTAGCGTAGAAGGTACATCATTATTTTCATTTTTAAATAATATCAGAAGGCTCTGTTTAACCATTACAACCTACTACAAACATAGTGCCTATCTTGTATAATGCACAAGGCATAAGAACAAAAATAAATTGTACAGTATTTTTTTGATAAAAAATAGGTAGGTATCTAAATATCTTATCTCTAAAATTCATATTTTATATTTTATAATAAATAATAATTGGTGAATGATGAGTTGTATTCTGACTTAGCTTATGTATTTTATGTGTTTTGTAACTAAAATACTAAATATATTAAACATAAAATATGCATTTTATTTCTTATGCCACACATTCTCCACCTATAAATTGTATATGCCACTGATTTCCTTGTAATTTTTCAATACCTAACAAACCACATGTCTTTAATATTAGGCGTAACTGGTTTATGTTTTTAATAATAATATGGAAAGTAATAAATTAATTACTACTTTACCTACGAGTATACTACAAATCTTCCATTAAGATTATTATTTTCTATTAGCTATTGATAATAGACCTTGTGAGTTATGAGCTAATAAAAATATTTGATTATCAAAAACTTTTTGCTACAATTATTAAAACATTTTTTGTACATTTGTAATAATAGTTGTTATTTTTAATTTGTTTAGGAAGTGATGAAGGGGATATTATGGCAATCAATTTCTCAGCCTCATTTGCAGCATGTCTGGCAGCAGGCCTCAAGTTCCTCGGAATTTTATGTACTGTATTGCCCAGGTAAATTAAATATATTCCAGTTACATTGATTTTAGTTAACTTCATTTTTTTTTTCAAATTTTGGGTAAATAGGTAATTATGTATACCAGCTACCGCGAGTAGAAGTTTTACGTGTTTATTTTTTAGCCATGCATTAGGAGGGGCCCGGACTTGATGACCTAAAAAACTTTAAAAAAGGCACTAAAAAAAATGTTAATATGAACTTATAAACAGCAAAAATGACTTAAAAAAATACCAAAAAATACCAAAAATTTCTTTAAAAATAATAATAATTCTTATTATGAGTTAAAAATTTAAATTATTTTATAAATAGTAAAAAAAAGTCCGTTTTTGCAAAATTTAATGTAACATAATGGTTTCTTATAAATTTATAAGTTTATAAATTTTTTTTTATACATAAATATGCTTTTAGTAATTAAACATTTAAAATTTTATTTATATTTATACTTTTAAACAATAAATGTGTTACACTGAACGATTAAAGTGTGTTTAATAGTTTCAAATAAAAATGATCGGCAATTGTCCGATAGTAAAGTTTTGTATGTTGAAAAACTTCTTTCAACTTCCACAGAAGTGATTGGCGCATGTTTGAAAAAAGTGATATCATCTGTATTCAAATCTTCTGGCAATCCTTCTTTTGTCACTTCTTGTCCTTCCAATATTTTTGAAATAATCTGCATAGTTTTATAACCACTATTTTTTTCTAAAACAGTTTTAAATTTATGTTGAATTTGGCGTCCAACTATATTTCGTGCTAATTGAATTTTATCTTTTTCTTCGTCTACAACTAGTATAGCATCGGCAAGGCATATTTTTGACGATTCTAATCGTTTGATTGAATTTGGGAGCGATCCAAAGTTTGATTTGATATAAACTAAATTTAATTCTAAACCTGGATCGTAAATCGAAATGTAACTTTCGACAAGAAAAATGCGAATATACATAAAAAAAAGTACAAAAATGAATAAAATGCACTAAAAACTGCACTAAATGACCGTAAAGCATAAAATTCCCTAAAAATGCAAAAAATGCAAAATAAAAATTGTACCATTAAACTCCATATTCCATGAATCAAATTCCTGTAAAGACGAGCCTCGTGTGTAAGCATTACATAAAAAGATGCAAATGCATCAAGTTCCGGGCCCTAGTCATTAGGTACTTTGTATAATTGAGAAGGTAGTAAGGTACTTACCTACCTACTATATTTGTAAATTTGTAATCAGTATAGTGAATATGGATCGTAATTCGTAACATAAATAAAATACCTATTAATGCTATTATAGGAGTAATATTTTTCGATACTTGAACCAATTGAAGCAGAAATAATAAATAAATATGCAGTTTTGTTTATATTACTAATAGAGGGTAAGTTACTTAGTTACCCTAAAATAACTAAATAGTTTTAAACAGTTTAATCTATTACCTAATCATCCTTGAATCGTAAAAATCTATTTAGTATTTTTGATTCTATTAATCTCAGCAGTCTCCAGTTAGCAATATACTCTGTTTTTTATTTTATAATTAGGTATATAATAGCTGGTGTTACCCGTGGCTTCTATTTGAATACTTTTACGACCCATCGGCTATCCGGGAATCCCAAATACAATAATATATTAATATGTGTACAACATTTTGTGCCAATTGATTAAAAACTGTGAATTTGCATCCTTAAGGCCTTTATAGGTGATTGATTTAGCTTAAAACACTCATTATCTCAAAAAGTATTAATGTTTTTGAAAATATTGTTTTAAATAGTTTCAAGTTGTTAAAAAAACAACGTTTTCATTAAAAAATTATATTTTTAAATATTTTTTATCCTTATAATTTTTAAGTTTTTTTACTTTTTTGAATGACAGCATAGAGTTTTAATTTCATATTCCAAAGCAGAATATTTTTCTAAGTATTTTGATACATAAAAATCGAACTTAAGACGAGTAGTTTATGAGTTATAAGTATTTTAAGTTTAGATGGGCGGAGTGGAGTGGTATGGGGTTACCCCGCAAAATGTTTATCCACTACACCGCCCATCTAAACTTAAAATACTTATAACTCATAAACTACTCCTCCTAAGTTCGATTTTTATGTATCAAAATACTTAGAAAAATATTCTGCTTTGGAATATGAAATTAAAACTCTATGCTGTCATTCAAAAAAGTAAAAAACTTAAAAAAATATGAGGATAAAAAATATTTAAAAATATAATTTTTTAATGGAAACGTTGTTTTTTTAACAACTTGAAACTATGTAAAAAAATATTTTCAAAAACATTAATAATTTTTGAGATAATGAGTGTTTTACGCTTAATGAATCACCTTGTATATAAGTGTATAACCTGACCCACTGGCATAGCCAGGATTTTGAAATTGAGGAGGGGGACTGGGGGAGTTAAGTATTAATTAAACTAAGTTTTGTACGGTTTTCGTATATACAGTGTGTTTCATTCAAATGGTAACACGAATTATTTCCGTTCAGTGACCTTGAATTGAATCGGGGTTTTTTTTCAAGAAGCTAGAGAATATTAAAATACACATTTTGTGAATAAATTCGAATTTTTAATTCTTTTATTGTGCTCATGAGCAATAAAACTTACATTTTTTTAAATGTCAACACCAGATTTCGATAGAACTATTTTTTTTAATCAACTTTGATAAACAAACTTTTTTCCTATCTCAAAAATTGTCTGAATTACAGCCATCGTAAGTTGAAACAAAAA